TGTTAGCAGCCTCGGCTAGCTAGCAGCAGTCTAAAAGTGGTCGACCTTTTCATTTTTTTTATCTAAAGGACTTGGACATCCGCTAACTTTTTATATATTTAGAACATTAAGAGGTGTTGCAGCACACGCGAAATAATTTCACATTTCGGAACTATCCAAAATCAAAAACTGTTTTCAGTACATTTTGGCAAAATAAAATACTCAAAATTTTAAAACTGTAAATGGTGTTCCAAAGGACGCTGTGTGGAAAAGCGCCCCCCCCCCACCCCCGCCCCCACCCCTATGAAATACGCCTGGCCAAATCAAAGGGAAACAACGCAAACTGGAAACACTAAGTAAGACGAGGGAAGACACGCACGAGTAACAACAGGGTGGAGGACGAGCGGTCTGATTCGGATCGAAGCATCAAGCCCAGAAATGGCACAAACATAAGAATTCAGTCACGAATGTAACGCAAATAACACAGACCACAAATATAGTCGTAGACTGCTAGCAGCAGTCAGAACGTGGTCGAGCTTTTTTTTTTTCAAAAGGAATTGGAATTAGGTGTAGCAGCATCCCAAGCTAGCTACAACCACCCCTCGATAAATTGTTTTCAAACCGCTTTGTGACTTTATTTTTTTACCCTACCAGGACAACCGCTTTGTGACTGACTGACTTTCTACCCCACTAGGACATAACACAAGCAATAAACACCCGATGACACAATGTGCCACCATGTGGATGAGGATCACCGTGGAGAGGTCCCAGAAACGGCGTTCAGCCTTTAGGCCATATTTATGGCCAGGCGGCCCCTGGCAAGAGCCAGAGTAGGGCTTCTAATAACGAAAGATTCCATCTTAAAAAGGACGGGAAATTGATACACTGACTGACTGACTTTCTACCCCACTAGGACATCACACAAGCGATAAACACCCGATGACACAAAGTGCCACCATGTGGATAAGAATCGCCGTGGAGAGGTCCTAGAAACCGCGTTCAGACAATTGGCCATATTGATGGCCTGCCTATATTGCGGCCCCCGGCAAAAGCCAGAGTGAGACTTCAAATAAGAAAAAATAACGTCCTGAAAAGGACGTAAGTGTGTTGATAACTCCTTGTGGTCCGGGTTCAATCCTGGGGATAGGCAGAAAAGCCACATTTTCTCCCAGATTTACGGTATTTACGAGCCTAAGGGTTAACAACTCATGGCTTCTGGATACTAAAACAAACAAACAGAGCTTGTGATGTGAGTACAATGTTATACTTTATCTTGGCATTTGTCTGGCATATTTTGGGCAATGGTTTGGCATAAAATGTAGTTTTTTTTATTATTATCTGGCAACCCTGATTGGCAGCCCTGGTTCTGTGACGTTTCGCACAAACGGCGTTTTCTGCTGAAGTTTGACTGGAGTTTGGTTGTGTTACGTTGCAGACACCGACAGGAAATATTGCCGCTTTATTGCTTTATCTGCTTCTATGAGTAAGTTATTTGTTATGTGGACAATTTTTAATAAAGAGATAACGTTGTTAACAAAACTTTAACTTTCTTAATAAACCTAGTTATGAGTAGCATAGTGTTATAGCCAGGCAAGGTCATGTCAAGTCACCACAGGGCGATCGTTCCGTTCGTTTAGTCCGTTTAGATTCGAGCTAAAGCTTGTGTAGCCGCTAGCGGTAATTATATTTTAATTAATGAATGTCTCTCGTTCATTTTCAAATTGTAGTCCTTAGAATAAATATGACGAAGGTACTCGATCTCCTGTATGTTAATGGGAACCTCGGCGGAAGCAAAGAATAGTAACACTGCTTCCTTCCAAATTTGGGCTATTCTCAAAATACCGGTCCCAAATTATCAAGGCCGGAAATATACCCTAACAGTAGGTACTTCAGTCAAATTTTTAAAATGCCCTCTACACCAATAAAACCAGCACAGTTAGATAGCTGTAAACAATCTCTTTCCAATGGTACCTCATTTAGGCTTGTATGTCATTTCTGAGCTGAGATATGTAGGTTTTTGTGGAGATGAGATGTAAGAAACAGCAGCTAAAACTTGTGACCCAGAAACAAGAAGTTTTTTTCTGCGCAGTCTGCGCAACCTACTGCGCAGTTCTGTATCGGCTTTGTTGACATTGGACTGTCATTGGACAAGATGGCAGGCAGTGAGACTCAGCTCACTCAGCCGCATGCGATTGCCTAAAAAATGTCACTGTAAATCTAAACAGCCAGAGTCGGGAAAGAAATTTATATATGCAGATGTAAAATTGGACGGAGAATTCAATTGTAACTAGCAGTACCACATCTGGTAATGTTTAAGGCCTAAACCAACCTCGAATTTACCGCTATTTTCAATCAAACTGATAGACTAACAGAAAAACAGAGAATGTCCGGCTGTCGTAGACATGCGCTGTTAATCGAGTTCCTTCCCGCCGTTTTCAGCTATTTAGAGTGGGTGAAAATCACACCAATGGCAAAATTTCATGAGAGATTAGGACCCATCCCGAAACCCCAGCCGACATTTCTGAAACAAGTTTCAAACGGTTTCTATGGTAACGGAAATTGTCGAAAAGATCGCTAATTTCCGAAACTGTAGTAGCTACTAACAGAGCCTCTTTACGTCATCCGCTACAAACATTTAGGTTCTCCTCCGAACTTCTACCCGATATTATGGCGGCCAAGCAAATAGCCTAACAGGGCCTTAGTTGTGTGTAAAATGCGGACTTTCTGCCAAAGAACAAATTGCGGCAAAACTAGGATTTCTTGAAAATTTTAAGAGACGCAACACTGCAGACAAAGTACCAGACGATTATAGCGACCGTTAACAATTTCAAGTGTTTTTGCAGACAATACTAGCAGACGATAATAGCGACCATTGACAATTTCGAGACACACAACATTACAGAAGATAAGGTTCTCCTTGCAATAACGGCCGCTTAGTCGGAGTTCAGTCCCCTGGCTGCAGTGCAATTACGGAGTGGACAAGCACAAATCACAAAACACAGTGAGTTCAACATGGCGTCTAGACCACGCGCTGCGACTCACATTAGCCTAACCCAAACCCTACCTCTAACCCTAATTATGTCATTTGGGTCGTTTACCTCTTTTCTAAACTTTGTGGCTGTGCCGCCATTGGAACTCCGCCAAATAAGATGCGAACAGGGCGCTGCTTGTCCCCGATTGGTAGCGCAGTCTTCGTTTTAGCAGCATCCACAGCCCCTCAATTTGCGTGTGACCATCACTGTCTGTGCTGTCGACAAAATTAGTATCATGCACTACCGTCGCGCGATAGTAAATGCCATTTTTTAGTTTGCTAATGTTGCTGTAGCCTCGCCAAGCGTCAGTCACAATTCTCGTTCCGGGCAACACATGATGAGTGATGACGCGTTCTAATATAGGCACATCTCGCCTCGGGACAACTTCAAACCAGCAACGGCCAGTGTGGCGCTCTACTGCGGAAGGGACTAAACTAGATGGCTGGCACTCACAAGCAAATAAAATGGGGGAAGCTGCAGGAGAAGTGGTAGCTGCTGCTCGTGAGTCCCAGCCATCTAGTTTAGCCCCTTCCCCGCCAAACTGGCTCATAAACAGCATCCTCTCCTGAATGCTAGGGTATTCTGGATATGTCAAGCACCATTGCAATCTGGAGAGAACGGGGATGTAAAACGAGGCAGAAGTCACCCTCTGCAACGGTGGATACAGAACATTCAAGATGCATTGGCTATCAAATTACACAGGGCTGGAAAATTCATCATCATCAATTCTCTTTATGCCTAGTGGCACATGAGGCTTTTTGACTTTCCATGCTTTCCTGTCCTGTGCAATCTTCGGTGCAGTTTACCATGTCAGGCATGCTGCACAAATCTATCGTTCGTCTCCATGTTGTTTTTGGGTGCCCCTTCTTTCTTTTCCTTCTGGTATCCATGTGAGAGCTGTTTTGGCAGGTTTATCAGGATTCATTCTCATAACGTGTTCAAGCTATTTCCTTCTTCTCTTATTTATCATAGTTTCTTGGTTTGAGACTGAAGTTAGAGAATTCATCATCATCATCATGTAGCAGGTCCTTTGCAGAACGTCGTTCTCATCACGGTCTGCCTGAAAGAAACTCAGTCTCCTGCCAGCTCTCCCGCCTTGTGTACTTTCATACTCAAGGAGTCATTTATATCCTGTGCCCATCTTTGTGTTGGTCGTTCCCTGCCCCTCTTTCCTGGTACCATGCCATCTGCTATAATTTTTTCCTATTAGAGAATTAGCTAGAGAAAAATAGACTTTGGAGCATGGGGTGATGAGAGTAACTTTTTGCAAAGGATATACTGATTGACTGATTGGGTATCACTCACAAGAGAAAAAAGGAAACCAATTAAAGAGAAATCAATCATGGATAAGCACAGTATCACACCAGTTAGTGAACACGTGAATTACAGTTTAAAATCGGATGAATAAACTTAATTGCACTATGTTTTATCATGTGTAACGTGGTCTATCTCCACATTACGGTTTTTCTGAGAATGTAACACGAAGCATGAACTCTCCTAACTCCAGCTACGATCTGAGGAATCAAGCATGTGATGAAATATGGACACCAGTACTCATAAAAATCTTGTGTGTCTTCAAGGTAAACAAGAAGTGTTGAAAATTGAATTCTTTGGCACTGATACAGAGATCTCATCAGTGACAAGTGCGGCAGTGTTAATTGTGTGATATACACGGACACCACATTAGTTGATCAGTGTGGAAAGTCCCCATGTGGGTTCCGGGGCCACATTATGGGGGTTAAGAGGATAGGAACCCCCACCAAGCATATCATAAAAGGTGACTAATTAGGGGGATTTCCTTCCAAGCTGCCTGAGCGGTGAGGAATCAGCAGTCTGCATACAAATAAACGAGATCTGTAAAACAGATGTGCACTCAAAACAACCACATAACAGAACTTTCCACCTTGAATTCCAGAGTGTTGTGTTATTTGTTCTGATGCTTCTATTGCTACCTTTGATTAGCACATTGATTTTGACTTGTTTTCTAGCATGCATCCAGATCTGTCACCCCATCTGCATACAGAAGAATGCAATGTCCTGATCACAGCCCTACAGCAGTGCCATGCTGATGTAAGTGTCCAGCTGTTACATTCTCACACAGAAACAATTGTTAACAAATTTATTTGGTCATTCTGTTTAGTTCAACGTTAGTACCCCCAGCAAAAGAAAGTAATCTTCTGTCCAATATGTCTGCATGTTCATTTCCTAACTCGCCTGCATTTACCGAAGAAAAAATATGGAAAACACACTTAACTACCCGGAGGCTTCTTTCCGAGATGAGAGGGTGTCTACATACAGACTGTTACATGTTGATGCACATTGGAAGATATTGAGACGCATGATCTATACCAGTTGTAAAGACAGGTATTAAAATATGGCATCTCTACATTGTATCATCATCATCATTGTTATATTGTGCCAGTATATGTCATATAAGGCTCACAGTCTATTCTTCCATTCTGTTGTATCTCAGGCAATCAATTCAGTATCATGAATAGAATCCAGTCTAGCACCTTTGGCCTCTCATCAGCATTCATTTTAGGGTTTCTTTTGGTGTCCTCGATTCCCATTTTGATGCCTGTTTAGAGATCCTGTGCTCGTTTCTTCTGTGTGTGTGTGTTCCATTGTAGCTCCATCTTCTCTGTTGTATATCTGTTGTTACCAATGGTTTCCCCAGACGTTTCTCTGATTTCTTTAACCCTCTTAAATTCATCCCATTTTATCTTCACCATTTTCCTCAGGCATTTGTTTTGAAATGCATGTAACTTTCGTTCCATCTTTAGTTGTTCTGAGACTTTCATTGGCATGTTTTAAAACTGAAATAAGTTTAGCATTGAAAATACGTAATGTGGTTTTAGATTGTACACATTTTTAAACATAAATGTGTATATTTATTAAAAGTTAATTTCAAAAAGTATATTACATATATTTCCTCCCAAAGACAGTAATAGTTACACATATTATTATTATTCCCCTTTTCCTCCTCCTTCTTCTTCTTCCCACATATCCCATGCAGCTAACCTCTATAGCAGACATACTTTAACAGTTTTGATATATTTCCTCCAGCATCCATATAAAAAGTTCATGGGAGCCTGCAATGAAGTGGAGAGAGCAATGAGCAAATGTATCAAGCGAGAGGTAATAATAAGAGTTATTTCACAGACTTTCATTGCATTTTATAAAATGTTTTTACAGGTTTTCATATTGTTTCTCCCTTAACAAGGTGGTTCCACCCCTCCCCACCCCCCCTCCCCCGCTTAACAAGGTGGTTCCACACACACACACACCCTCCCCCCTTGACAAGGTGGTTCCACACACACACTCACAATCTAGTTAGCTCTCATGTCAGCATTTAAAATGTGTTTCCTCTTGAGCCACTGGTTGAGTCCTTCCCTGGAGTTACAGGTTTAATTTATCTCTGGAGTCAGCAGCTGATCTTTCTCTGAAATTACAGGTAGACATCCTTCCTCTAATGCAGGGCTATTCAACTGACCGCCCGCTGGCCATGTCTGGCGGCCCACTGGCCATGTCTGGCGACCCACTGGCTATGTCTGGCCCACAAAGGCCTAGCAAGTGTGGTCTGCTAGTCATTGGCAAGTGTATTGTTTTAAAGGTCTCTCTATGCTGGAGCTCTAACTTCTGGGCCGTGACGATCCCAGTTAAAAAAAATGTGTGGTCCCTGAGTAAACTTAGTTGAATAGCCCTTACTTTGAGCTTTCCCTCGAGTTATAGGCTGAGTTTTTCAATTGGAGTCACCGACTGAGTTTTCCTCTGGAGTCAGTGACCAAGCTTTGTCCTTAAATCACAGACTGAAATTTTCCCCCTGAGCTTTTCCCTTGAAGTCACAAGCTGAGCTTTTCCCTTGGAGTCACAAGCAAAGCTTTCCCTTTGGAGTCACAAGTTGAGCTTTTCCCTTGGAGTCACAAGCTGAGCTTTCTCCTTGGAGTCAGAAGGGGAGTTTTTTTTATTGGTCACAAACTGAGGGGAAAATTTTTTTCAAGTAGCAGCCTAGAGAGGGGAAAAGATCTTCAGGTAGTGGTCTAGAGAGGGAAATATCTTCAGGTAGTGGCCTAGAGGGGGAAATATCTTCAGGTAGTAGTCTAGAGAGGGAAATATCTTCAGGTAGTGGTCTAGAGGGGGAAATATCTTCAGGTAGTGGTCTAGAGAGGGAAATATCTTCAGGTAGTGGTCTAGAGAGGGAAATATCTTCAGGTAGTGGTCTAGAGGGGGAAATATCTTCAGGTAGTGGTCTAGAGAGGGAAATATCTTCAGGTAGTGGTCTAGAGGGGGAAATATCTTCAGGTAGTGGTCTAGAGAGGGAAATATCTTCAGGTAGTGGTCTAGAGGGGGAAATATCTTCAGGTAGTGGTCTAGAGAGGGAAATATCTTCAGGTAGTGGTCTAGAGGGGGAAATATCTTCAGGTAGTGGTCTAGAGAGGGAAATATCTTCAGGTAGTGGCCTAGAGGGGGAAATATCTTCAGGTAGTGGTCTAGAGGGGGAAATATCTTCAGGTAGTGGCCTAGAAGGGGAAATATCTTCAGGTAGTGGCCTAGAGGGGGAAAGATCTTCAGGTGGCAGCCTAGAGGGGGAAAAATATTAAAGTAGCAGCCTGGAGGGAAAACAGTAAAAAGTATCACATGTTTTAATTTGTAACCTGTTTGTATCAATTTTTTGATGCGCCTTTACTCTGTTAAAAAATCATTATGATGTGTGATAATGATGATACTGTCAACCATAGAGCTGAAAGTATAATGTTTTGTTTTTAGCGAGAGATGAAGAGAGATGCAAACAGAAAGAAAGGAGCGGCCAAACAGAGCTCTTCATGAAAACTGACAGCAACAACCGTTCACAGCAACTATCTGGCATGCCAGTGTCCTGTTTGGAGTTTGTTTTGAGATGATGATGATGATAATGATGATGAGGAGGACTTAGTCACAAAAATAGACCAGTTGTACCAGCGGTTGATATAATGAGAGTAGATTTTTTTTTTTTTTGGGTGCATCTACAGCAAATGCTGCCACCTACCAGTTAGTCCCACTAAGTAGACACCCAAATGTCTCCCTTACAGCAAAAGAATAATAGCATCCTCATCTCTACTTTATGTTATCAGTGCCAAACATGGACAATGAATAGGGCACTAGAACAGACAATAACTACATGTGAAATGCGCTGTCTCGACAAGGTCACTAACAACACAAGAAGGGAGACGGTTACCTGTACTACCATTAGAGATGAATATCTGGATAATATTAACAAAGAATGAAATTGTTGGAGCCATATGTGACGTATAATGGCACAGTAGGATGATCATGCCCCCTTAGAAAGTAAAAAGTAAAGGTCCCTTTTCCACACCTTTAGTGTATAGGGCATATAGGGCTAGGCCTTTATTTTTATAGACCAGTCGGCACAAGATGGGTGATGTGGTCAGCATCAACCCGGGGCCGACCTGGGAGTCACAGTCATTTTAAAAAAAAAGTCCAGCCTCGCCAGGGAGCAAACCCACCACCTTCCAATCCTCACGCAGCGTCTAGCCGCTATGTCACGGTAACTCCCTTATGCCCCCTTAGATTAAAAAGTAAGTTAGTTGACTGTCCATTAAAGGAGGTTGTCGAACTAGTCCCAGAATTTTCTGGCTGCTTTTAATGGGAACTTTTTATGTTCAGCAGTTTTACCATCATCATCAAGTGCCTTGCCAGCTGATGTAGATATTCACGCATCTCCTCAGATCTCTGTCTTTGGTGTTCTGGTTCATTTCCACTGATGATATTCCATTATGCAACTGTCGTAAGCCATCCACAATCATTTCTTTTGGGATACCTCCTCTTCTGCCAGTGATCTTTCCTGTCATCACGATATTTTCCAGTGCTCCAGTTCTCATCGCATGACCAAAGAATTTTGTTTGTCTCCTTCTCCTTACCATTTCTTGCTGAATTGCCGATTTTGGCATTCTGCTACCAAACCGCCCGCAGCTTGTATTGAATCTGGCACCTCCGCATTGCAAAGCACATTAGCAATGCTTATGCCACAGATGCCAACTTGCAGTATGTACATTGTTTTCATAAAGGTTTGCTCTTAAACATATATGTGGAGTTTTTCAAATTTTCCATTTTTTGAATATATGTGTCTTATGGACTGTTGAGTTTGGGATGGTTTGGTTACCTTTTATAGATTCTATCTAGTGCCTGGTATTCATTTCATTATGTAGCTTCAGATGTGCGGTTTCACACAAGACTGCTTTTAAATTCCTTGGAAAGCCAAAATGAGTAATCCAGATGTTTTGAAGGATGCAAAGACTCGAAGGCAACATATTATAAAAACAAAAGATGCGGATATATGGGCCTGCATAGTCTTGAGGTATGGTGTCTACCTTGAGTGCTAGAGGCCCCGGTGAAGGCTGGGATTTTTTCAGTTTGCGTGGACTTCTAGAAATTCCTTCTGGTCTCTGGGTAGTGAGATCGGATGCCCATGTGTATTGTTGCGCACCTAGATAATTCCTTGGCAGTTGGAAATTTAAAAAAAGAGTAACCTAACAGTGCTGCCTGAACAAAATTTGGAGTTTAAAATCTACCCAAATATTTCAGGATCCTCGCCAGTGCTACGGAGCCCGTGCACTCCGCTGAGCTACTTCGGACTCAGACTTGAGAAGAAGACTGGAGCACTACCCGTGTGTCATGATGTTGACCCGTTGTTCAGAACCTCAAAGAAACAGATATAAATTTTTTGAGGGGCTGCAAGAAACATATATAAATTTTTGGAGGGGCTGCCATATGAGAAGAAACTAACATGTTGTGACACCAGGAAAGATTTATAGAGAGAGAAACAGAGGAAGACACAAGAAGATTCTTGACAAGCCTGTGCCATGGCACAGAAGGGTGTCAGGACACAAACTGCTGTATCAGTGCTTTTCAAGCTGGAGGACACAAGGAAGTTTCAAGGAGGTGGGCATCAAGCAGTTTTGACATTGAGTGTCTTTGTTCTCGTTATAACCTGTTTTACTAATTTTGTTGTTGTTGGTCCAGTTGAATTATAAATAAAATATTCTTTTTAAAAACTATATATAAAAGAAAATGCCAAGGGCATTACGTTTGATTAATGTGAATGTTTTTGTCCTTTTTTTCTTATTAATTTTAGTGGGAGATGCCTTTTCATATATTGGGGGGGGGGGGGGGGGGGGGGCGTCACCTGAGATAGGTTGAAAAACCACTTGTAGTCAATCAATGCAGAGGCATCAAATGAAATTCTGCAGTTGGATAAAAGAAGGGGGGAAAAAGAAAGATGGTGAAGAATATTCTAGAATACCTAAGGACGCAGAAAACAAATGCAGACATTTTAATTAGTGGAGAGGCATTGTTGCCAGTGACAGTTGGCAACAGACAATTAGGATGATGATCACTGTTCATGATGTTGTGTAAATGGATGCAAGGATAGCATCTCTGTAAATACATTTTCTTATTAAAAGATCTCCTGGGTAGAGTGGAGGGTGAGAGAAAGCCAGGACACATGGATGGCCTAGATTCGTGGTTCTCAACCTGTGGGTCGCAATCCTTTTAGGGGTCAAACAACCTTTTCACAGGGGTCGCTTAAGACAGTCAGAAAACACATATTCATTAAACTTATGAAGTAGCAAGGATAATAATTTATAGTTGGGGGTTACCACGACATGAGGAACTGTATTAAAGGGACACCACATTAGGAAGTTTGAGAACCTCTGGCCTAGATTAACTGCTAAATGCAGTTAGCTCTGGTTATATAAAGTTATTTTCATTGTTGATGATGTGACACATTTTCATTGTTGTAAAAAAACCAAAAAGTAAAGGTCCTTTTTCCATGCTTTTAGGCATATAGGGCTAGACCTCTATTTTTGTTGACCAATAGGCACAAGATGGTGATGTGGTCAGCATCACGCCGGCCGCCTCTACTTCCCGGGACTGCACCTGGTGCCCACTCAAGGCTGTTTTTAAAGAAAGTTTGGCTTTGCCAGGGAGCGAACCCACGACCTTGTTTCATTGTTGACTGTATGATAAATCATTGGCATTGTTTACTTTGCTATTGGGCAAATACAAATCTGATGACGGTGTCGATTTTGTTTTGCTTTTAAGCTCTTGTGGTATGATGTAGTTTTCTTAGCCTTAATATTAAAAAAACCTGGGTAGTGAACAGTGGAAGCTGCTGTTCGTTCATTCGTACATCACAAGTGATGAGGACCACTCTTTCTTTCATCCGTCATGAAATTGAAGTTGAATGTTTGCGAGTCCAGAGGTGACTTAAAAGTCCAATTCGTGCCCGGAAGAGTCTTGGGCAATGAGGGTAGGGCGCAGTTTCTGTAGACAAAGGGACTGTTTGACAGACGCTTGCCAGCCAGAATGAAGATCTAGAGTTCAAATTCACATCAAAGATATTCATCATAACTGACTTTGGCTGCCAGGTCCACCTGGCAGTACATGGGTACCAGGTAAAGTCCAGGGAAGTAAAAGTGTTCAATGAAGAATTGACATCACAGTGCTGCTAAGAAAGGACTTTGATTGAATATTAGGAAATGGGTAATGAATGTTACGAATACCTTGGACGGCCAGAGTAACTAACAACGATTGCTTGAAAGAAGCTAATGAAAGTAGATCTCTATATACAACAATAAGAAAAAGACAAACACTGTTCTCTGGCCACATAATCGGAAGAGAGACATTGGAGAACTTCGTGACAACTGGAGAGATCAGTGGAAAATAGGGTAGAGGTAGACCAAGAGAGACAAATCTGGGTTGGCTGAAATGATGGCATGGAGGGATATCATCAAGAGAGCTGTTCCAGGCAACCAAGGATCGTGATCTGTGGAGATGCATGAGCGCCTAAGCCAGTTTACAGAGCACATGATGATGATGATAGCTCATAAGCCTTTCATTCCCCCTCTTCAGCAGCAAGCAAAGAGTTCCAATTCCGATGGCACCATTAACTGTCTGATTGTATATTCGTATCACTTTTTCCTTGAACGCTGAGCATCAGCCAGATAAATTCCTTGTAGTGCCATTCTCCTCAGGCCGTAATGATCTATTTGTGCCTCTGTACTGTTTACTCTCTCCCAAAGGGCCCTCACAACATCCAGCTTGTTGTACATCAGTTCTCCCCATGTGGGTTCCAGGGCCCCATTGTGGGGAAAACAAGAATAGACCCACCGCCTTTCCAGCAAACATTTAATAGGAGTAGACTAATTGGGGACTTCCGCAGAAGTCGGAGTGCTCGAGCAGCAAGGAACAACCAGCTGTACACAAATAAACCATTAAACGGATGTACACGCAATACCTAGGCCCTGCCACAAAGCCAAAGTCCAAATGGATGAACAAACCAGGACTTTCCGCCGGAGCTTACAGCCGGTGAACAAAGAAGAAGATGCAACAGTTCATCCCCAAGTGGCGCAGAATCAGCTAGCCTGTCTGCCTGCTTGTTTTCCAACACACTGGAGAAAATATCCAAAGGACGCTAACTACCTGGAACTCCCGAAGCGATGCTTGCCACTCTACATGGAGCATGCTTGTTCTCAACATGCTCTGTGAGTCAGCTACGATTACGACAAATGTGTGGAAGTAAAGGGGGCCAGGCTGGTGTTGACTACATCAATCATTGAGTGCTGATTGGTTTATGAAATGATGCCACTAAATGCTTGATGTGAGATGCAACAAAGGCAGAAAAATGGTCCATTACTTTATTTGCTTTGTAACTCACTCAGCAAACAAAAGACCCATCAAATTGTTATTGCACTAGGCATTCTTCACCACACAGTGTGTTTGTGTATGCTGTCTCGCTAGATATTATTTATTTCTCAGAACAAACAAATGTTATGTTGCTTCACAGTAAATGTTATCTCACCAGACATTTTTCTCACCATGCAGTAAACATTACCTCACTGGACATTTTTCTCACCATGCAGTAAACATTACCTCACTGGACATTTTTCTCACCATGCAGTAAACATTACCTCACTGGACATTTTTTTTTCACCATGCAGTAAACATCACCTTACCAGACATTTTTTTCACCATACAGAAACAAATGATATTTCAATAGACATTTTTACTAGTACAGTAAACATAATCTCAACAGACCATTTCACCATACAGTAAACAATTGTTATATCACCATTTTTTTTACACCATACAGTAAACAATTGTTATATCACCAGATGTTTTTCACCATATGGTAAAAAAATGTTATCTCACCAGACATTTTTCATCATACAGTAAACAAATGTTATCTCGAGACATTTTTCACAATAAAGTAAACAAATGTTATCTCGAGATATTTTTCCCTATACAATAAACAAATGTTATCTCACCAGACATCTTCCCCCATACACTAATCTATTATCCAGATAAAAGTTCAAACAAGAAAAACACCTTGGATGTTATTTTCTAATGAAATCTAGCGCTGCTAATATACCTCCACTTTCTTTCAGATTATCATTTCTGCTCTCTCGCTCTTCCTGATTTGATGAGTACATTTTTCAGTACTCAATTTATTTGTAATTTGTCTTGTTCAGTCATTACCCAGATCATCATTTTTGCTCTCTCCTCTTGATATTTTGTGTTCTCTCCTTTTAGTTTAAATTTTTCTTTTCTCTTTTATTCTGTGATTGTTCAAGTCTGCGATTGTTAGCATTGAGCTGGTACGAAGATTTGTGTATTTTATTTGAGTGGTTTTCTATTCTAGTTTGGTTTCCGACTAATTCATTTTTGCGCTCTTTACAACAAGCAAACTGTTTGTAGCTCACAAATGTAGCACAAGGAGAACAAAGATAAACAAGGGAGAGAAGTAATGCAGTGGTGTCGCTGGGGTCAGTTCCCTTCAATGGTACCAATGAATTTTTGGTAAGCTTCCTCGGTCATCAGGGTGTCAGTTTTTGTGTTTGGATGTAGATCTAGCTTGAACAGCCAACCTGGTACGGTGAAAGTTTAAAAACGAAATTTATTGTTGAATTCAGAGTATCCTGAAATGTGATCACAAGAGGCATTCTAATATAGCTCTCTGTCTGTCCATATCTCTTTCTCGTGCGTGTGGGTGGGGGGGATATGAACAGAAAAAATAGGCATACTGGAACTATAGGACTAGACCTATATTTCATAGAATAATCCACACTTGTTGGGTGATGTGGTCAGCATCATGCTGGCTGCCTTTACTTCCCAGGACTTTATATGGTACCCTTTTAAGGCTGGGTCGACCTGGGGCCACTCCTGCATGAGAGTCCTACGTTGCAACTGCTCGGCCAGCCAATTCACATATGGGAACACAACTGACATTACTTATATAATAAAAACACACACATAGATATGCCTAAATGAACAGAAAACAGCAGAAGATGTTCTCTGCAATCACCTATCCTTTACTACTACTTCTTCTTTGTCTTCACAAGCTGTATACTCCGGTGGATAGGTCTGGATGTTTGTCCACTTCTAGATGTTTGTCCACTTCTGGATATTTGTCTTGTTCCAAAACTTGTGTTTTGTATGCATATCTACTTTACAGATCTGGCTTATTTGTATGCAGACTGTTGTTTCCTTGCCTCCTAGACAGATGCACTCTGACTTTGAAGGAAAAACACCACTAATTAGTCGACCTTTTGAGACGTGCTTGTTAGGGAAAAAGTGGTATATTCTTTTTGCCCTGCAAAAAAGGACTCCAGAACCCACACAGAAAACCTCTTAATTACAAAAACATGATCACAGCTGACTCAATGGACACTACAGCCACAGTTTTCTAGTTGCACTCTCCATTCAGTGACTTGCAGTCATGCTCTAGTTAACCAATTATATGTATATAATTTTCTCGAAAGCTGAAATATTTTGGTCATATCAAGCGCCACGACAAATTGGAAAAAATTATAGCAGAAGGCTTGGTACCAGGAAGGAGGGGCAGGGGCCGACCGACACGAAGATGGGCACAGGATATAAGTGACTCCTTGAGTGTGAAAGTTCATGAGGCGGGAGAACTGGCAAGAGACCGAGTTTCTTTCAGGCAGACTGATGAGAGCGACGTTTTGCAAAGGACCTGCTACATGATGATGATGATATATATATATATATATATTATATATAATATATATATATATATATATATATATGCATATTTTATATGTACTCAAAACATATAATATATATGTGGCATTTTTAAATGTACTCAAAACATATAAGCAATGGTTAGTCTTCTTTCAATCCTTATCATGTGGGGATAACTGTAATGCCTTTCCACATCCTTCTATCACATGTACTGCCAATAACTGTTTTATAAGAAGTACAGATTTGCATCAGATTATCATGCCAAGGTGCCAGTTTAGAGCCCAGCTGCAGCGATCTGGCAGCAGACTGTCTTGTGTTGATTTCAACACTGGTACTTAGAGCTGATCGTTCAGAAAGCAATGGCAAACTAGTGAATGTCAATTTGCCTAGAAAAACCACTATAGCCATACCCAAAAAAAAAATGCTGGGGTTGGCTTTCCTATGTCCTATACAGGATATGCAGTTAGCTTTAAAAAAAAAAAAATATTTTCTGATTTTTAATTTACCGTCTGCAAGAGGTGAGGAGTTGACCAAGCTTGGTTTGTCTGCCAACTGTTTGTTGACCTCCGTCACTGTACCACCTACTGGACTAAACACTTCACTTGCGGCCTTGACACTTTCCAGACAGCCAGCGACATCTGTCACAGACAAGCAAATGTTCAAACTTTCTGTCCAAATCAATGTGCCATACATATGTATTTGCCAGTCAGTGTTATATATGACTGGCTAGTCTTTATGTTTATCAATCAATGTGTCATGTAATTGACTAGTCCTCACATCTGCCAGTCAATGTGTTATATGATTGGCTGGCTAGTCTTCATGTTTATCAATCAATGTGTCATACGAACAGCTAGTCTTCACATTGGCTAGTCTTCATGTTTATCAATCAATGTGTCATACGATTGGCTAGTCTTTACATTGGCTAGTCTTCATGTTTATCAATCAATGTGTCATACGATTGGCTAGTCTTTACATTTGCCAATGTGTTATATGATTGACTGGCTAGTCTTCATGTTTATCAAATAATGTGTCATGTGATTGGCTAGACTTCACATTTGCCAGTCAACGTGTCAAATGACTGGCTCGTTTTCATGTTTTTAATTTATCAATGGGTCAATCGGAACATTCTTATGCAGGCTTTGCCATCTTCAGCAGCCAGCAGAGAGTTGCGGTTCCAATGGTACAAGTAGCAGTTGGATTATATATGTCCATCTTGCTCTTTCCTTGAGATAGAGTGATGGCCAAATCCCCCAGTAACTCCCTACAGCACAATACTGACCACACCATAATGATCTACTTGTGCTTCCACATTGTTCGCTTGCTGCCAAAGGGCCTTAGCCACATCTAGCTTGTCATGACTCAAGTCACCACCCAGTGATACAGTACCACTTAATCTTTCTGCTCGTTCATTACCCAACACACGTGCATGTAATGGGGAAAATATACAAAGGACAGCAACTACTGGTGCCTCTGAAGCAATGCTTTTCATTCTGAACAGAGCATGCCCTTCTCCACCTGTCTCAGCATATTCTGTGAGTCTGTTAAGCTGGTTCTCAAGCTAGTTGAAAGCTCCTGTGACAGCCTCTACCTCCATTCTCAAACTAGACGATGTGGTATCATATCCTAGACTTTGCTGTACCAAGTAGCATCCATTCACTCTTGCAATGAATCCACATGCAATTTTGTGTGTCTAAACATAGATCCATGGGGATGGAGCAAGTGTAATAGGCTCATCTTCAAGTTTATCAACCTAATACATCATGTGTGAGAGGCTACAAAAGTGAAATGCTTGTATCATCTTCTTATTAGAGTAACTGACCCTCATTCGGCAGCTGTAGCCTTTTGCAACTTGATAAGTTTAAAGACAGGTTACCTATTGCATCCATTAAATAAATCGAGACTTTGGATTCAACAGTTACAGCAGACTTGAAACAGGCTTCAATGATCAACTTTCACACTGAAATCCCCCATCTTACAATCTGTAGGCAATGTAATGTTAGCTGTCTGTCTAAACCAGAGGTTCTCAAACTAATGTGGTCTACCACTCCATTTTTTTTCAGTGAACACAATTATCTATCTTGAACTGAGCTGAGTGAAAAACTGACATCACAGCACTCAGCACATTCATGTTTCTCCAGTCATCTTCAGCAGCTAGCACATTCCAGTGGTACCAGCAGCAGCTGTATGTTCAACTTGCTTTTTCTAGCATCTTCTGGAAATCTGCTTTCAATAAGTCTTCTTCTTCTTCCTCCTCTTCTTCTCTTCTTCGTCTGCTCCTCCTCCTCCTGCTGCTGTTGCTCCTCCTCCTTTTTCTCCTTCTTAGCATTCATCCGCTATAAACTCCGGTGGAAATTTCCAGTTGAATGTGCACTTCAGTTTTGTAAGCACATCTGTTTTACAAATATGTAGACTGTTGATTCCTCGTCCCTCTGGCAGATGCAATCCAACCTCAAAGGATACTTCCCCAGTTAGTCGCCTTATGTGACATGCCTTTTTAGGGAGGCAGTGAGTCAATTCTTTTCCCTCAGTATGGGGCCCTAGAACTCACCCGGGGAACTGTCATTAAATGAACAATCATCATCATCATCATTCCGTAACTCTACGTGTCGTTGGGTCATCAGTTTTTGTTGACTGACTGATCAGTTCTCTCTACCTTTGGTAGTCAGTTGCGATGGACTTCATGGTTGCATGCCTGAGGCCTGTCCAGTCAGTCAGGTTCTGTAACCAGGTTTTGTTGGTCTGCCTTTTCTCCTCTTTCCCTCTACTGAGCCCTGCAGTATTGTTGAGGCGGTTAGATCTTATTACATGTCCATACCATTGTATTTTCGCTTTTTCACTGTAGTTAAAAGAGGTTCATAGTTGCCAATCTGCTGTACAATTTTATGGCGAACCTCTTCGTTTGTAATGTGGTCTCTGTATGATGTTGCTAATCTGCTGTACAATTTTATGGCTAACCTCTTCGTTTGTAATGTGGTCTCTGTATGATGTTGCTAATCTGCTGTACAATTTTATGGCGAACCTCTTCGTTTGTAATGTAGTCTCTGTATGATGTTGCTAATCTGCTGTACAATTTTATGGCTAACCTCTTTGTTTGTAATGTGGTCTCTGTATGATGTTGCTAATCTGCTGTACAATTTCATGGCGAACCTCTTCGTTTGTGGTCTCTGTATGATTTGCCAAGAATTTTTCTGAAACGTCACATTTTTAATGAACAATCAGAAAGCAATAAACACATGGTGTCTGTGGCTTAGGCGTTCAGAAAGACTGTGGTAGCGATAAATGACCGCTCAGAAAATGATATCAAACTACTCAATGTCAAATTTGTCTAGAAAAATCACAACAGCCAAACAATGCCGGGGTTGGTTCTGCAATGTCCTGTCAAGGATACACAACTCACTTTCTAACTTTACGTATCTTCTACATCTGTCAACATTGACAACATCCTTGACTTAGGAGCCGCAAACATAGTTTGTAATTCTGAAGTACACAGCTGGATTTCACCTGCAGATTATCTGGCAGCAGACCACTCTACCCTGATTTCGACAATGGTCTTGAGAGCTGACCATTGAGAAAGAAATGGCAAAGTACTTAATGGAAAAACTGCATGGTAAAACCACAAACAGCAACCAATATAACACAAGACAGCACACAAAATAAACTTTTAAGGGCAAACACAGAAGAGGAAAAAGACATACAGATGGACTAATTTAGTTGGTCTGTGTTCTGGCTGATTGATGTGCCTTATGGAATAATACTGTATGTACCGCAAACTTCTCGTGACTGACTACTTCATCAGTGACATACTGCAGTTCTGATGGCAGCAGTATTGGCCACCTCTAATGGCTACCTTATGCATTTGCTGCATGTTCATGTTTCTGCATTTTGCCAGGAGTAACTCAATAGGCTGCAATATTGTTGATTTCAGTTGCCTTTTACAACAAGCTACATATGGGGCAGTTTATCTCTCTCTCTCTCTCTCTCTCTCTCTCTCTCTCTCTCTCTCTCTCTCTCTCTCTCTCTCTCCCCCCCCCCCTCCCTCCCCCAAATGGGGCTCATAATCCACATGACCTAATGTAAGAGGATCAAACAATAAAAGCATTACAAACATTAAATACAATAACATAAACAAGCAAGTAACTTTACCATTAGCTTCCAACTTTGTGCCCACTTCTGGAGTCTCAACATAAACAATTTCACCCAGTTGCTCCTGTTAAACATGTACAGAAATATATGAATCTTTTAGTTCTTCAAGTCCCAGTCAAGGCAAACCTGGGCCCCATTTTTCTGGACCATTTTTGGTATTCATTTTTATGAAGTTAGCTTGACCCATGGACAAAGAAAAGAAGAAATACTGACATTTTAAAAGATCTTGACATCTAGAAGGATTGGCTAATAAACAGCATCTTGTCTCAGAAGCTGAAATATTTTGGTCATATCAAGCGCCATGGTGGACTGGAAACAAAAAACTATAGCAGAAGGCATGGTACCAGGAAGGAGGGACAGGGTCCGACCAACAAGAAGATGGGCACAGGATATAATGATTCCTTGGCTATGAAAGTACATGAGGCAGGAGAGCTGGCGAGAGGCCGAGTTTCTTTCAGGCAGACCGTGATGAGAGCAATGTTCTGCAAAAGGACTTGCTAAATGATGATGACGAGGTTGACCCCCAAAAAAACACTGGAAAAAAAAAACGCTGCTACTTCAGAGGACTGAACACAGATTACTTCATGGCAAGCCAGTGCACTTGCCACTATGCCTCCTATGCCTTGATAAACTTTAGCGTAAAGTTCTGATTGTTCATCCATATCTGAGACTTTGGTCTTTTTCCAGAACTTGCATACCCCTTTTACACACCTGGCTTATTTGTATGCAGACAGTTGGTTCCTCGCCGCTCAGGCAGATGCACTCCATCTTCATAGGAAGCACCCCTAATTAGTGTACTTTTATGACATATGATGTGTTCCTTCAGGTAGGAACATACAAACATATGATGTGTTCCTCTGGATAGGAACACACAAACATATGATGTGTTCCTTTGGGTAGGAACATACAAACATATGATGTGTTCCTTCGGGACTGAAAGAGCTGGTCACCTCTCACAGCCATGGTTGGGTCTATTCCAGCGGCTCTCAACCTTCCTAAAGCCGTGACCCTTTAAAACAGTTAATCGTGTTGTGGTGACCCCCAACCATAACATTATTTTTGCTTCTTCATAACTTCACTGAGTATGTTTTTTTTTAAAATGATGTTAGGCGACCCCTGCAAAAGAGTCAATTGACCCCCGAAGAGGTTGCAAAAAACAGGTTGAGAACCGCTGGTCTATTCAGTCAGTCAGGTGCTATCTTCAAAGTTACCGTTGGCTCTAATTGTCCTTTACTGACTATTGTCCCCTTAGCTGAATTCTTAATGAACAGATACACTAACTCTTAGTTTCAGGCACAAGTTATTTTAATTCCCTGTATCATAAGACGGATTGGTTGGAAAAAATTATAGCAGAAGGCATGGTACCAGGATATAAGTGACTCCTTGAGTGTGAAAGTTCATGAGGCAGGAGAACTGGCAAGAGACCGAGTTTCTTACAGGCAGACTGTGATGAGAGCGACGTTCTGCAAAGGACCTGCTACATGATGATGATGATATCATAAGAAATTGTTATTTTACCTAAAAATACTTCTATCTGAAGTAGTTAAAACGTTAACACTATGTGACAGAAATGGTTACAGTAACCATAGGTGTAGGCTGAGGGTGTAACAACTCATCATCATTATTCCATAACACTGCGTGTTGTTGGGTCACCAGCTGGCTCTTGACTGTCTGATCAGTTTCCTCCACATTTGGCAGTCAGATGCGATGGACTTCATGGTTGCCTGCCTGAGGGCCTGTCCAGTCAGTCAAGTTCTGTATCCAGGTCTTTCTTGGTCTGCCTCTTCTCCTCTAATCAGCCCTGCAGTATTATTTTTGAGAGGCCGCTGGATCTTATTATATGTCCATTTTCCATCTTTTCGTGCAACAAATGACTGGGACAAAGAAGTTAAAGCCATTCAAGCATCCAAGCAGAAACTGACAAACCCATACCTGAGCGTAATGTGAAATTCCAACAGTTCCCTTCCCATTACTTATTGACACCCATTCATGCTTGTCTGTGTAAAAATGTGCTGTGGGAATACAAGAATCAATTTTTTAAATCCAGGATTACATCAAATGAATACATTTAAGGTAATCTGAAGTAGACAAGTCAAAATGAAATTAATTTGGACACTTTTTCAGTCACAAACAACACACCATATGTGCTGGATATCACTGATGTGCACCAGTCAACATGTTTTGTATAACTGTACATCTTAAGTTTAGTCCGGCAAACTAAATCAACCCAACAATACAAGTCACCTACATGACTGGTACCTTTCCGTCTTCCCAGACAAGAGTGTTCTTTTTTAGCACTAAGAGGAGGAATGGGACTCACAGCTCACGGCTATTGCGATTGTGACTAGCAAGCCCCGCCCACGTTAAGAAAAGTCTTCCACAATTATAGCATGAGTTTTCAGGACTGTTGTTGTCAACATTCATGTTTAGTCTGTTTCTTCTCAGACACTCAGCTCTCACCCTGTCTGTATTAATTTCTTCCTTCATTCTCATTCTCTTTCTGAAGTGCTTCCTCCATACAACACGGTCCATGGCATTGTGTTCCCACGAGTCCACCTTAATACTTGTATCATTCATGTCCCACTTGCACACATCTTCATATCGTAGTAGAGGTCGGCCTCAACATCTTCTGCCTGTTTTTAATTCATCACTAACGATGTCCTTAGGGACCCTTCCCTCCTCCATGTGTAACTCAGCCACCTGAGCCTTCATAGACTGAGCACTGAGACAACTTGTAATACCTGCTCTTTCATCCATAATGTACTGGGTATTCGGACCCCCTGGTTGCAGTGTTTGTTGTCATCAGTATTGCTTCAGTCAGGCTTTAGCTATGATCTTCTGGCACTGAAAGAGTTTAGCTGACTTTCTACTTTATAATTAATATATTAACTCTTTGAGTCAAAAGGAAGGCATCATATGTTCAAAGGGGTTACCTAGAAGCTCAATGAACGCATGATGCGCCGATTTTATTACTTTCTTTACTACCCCCTGGGCCTGTGATGCTAAACCCCCTGGGACTCAAAGAGTTAATGCCCACAAGCATGTTGTAAGAGTCAACTAATTGACAGTTTCCCTCAAAGTCGGAGTCCATCTGCCTGAGGGGCAGGAAACCAACAGTCTGCATGAGTCAGACCTGTGAAATGGATGTACATGCAACACTCAGGTTCTGGAATGACACTGGAGTCCAGAAGTGGATGAACAACCAGAACTTTCTGCCGGAGTTTGCAGCCGGTGAAGGCATAGAAGAAGAAGAAAATAATTAATAATCATTACCTGCTAGTAATTTACTTATAGGAAGTACTTATTTAATTTTGACAAAGAATTAAAATAGTACCATATGATTTTATTTCATAATCTGACTGGATTTAAAACATTTTTAAGATTGTTTTCCCAAATGTCTGTGGTATGCCATTCACATTGTTTTCCCAAATGTCTGTGGTATGCCATTCACATTGTTTTGCCTAATGTCTGTGGTATGCCATTCACATTGTTTTCCCAAATGTCTGTGGTATGCCATTCACATTGTTTTCCCTAATGTCTGTGGTATGCCATTCACATTGTTTTCCCAAATGTCTGTGGTATGCCATTCACATTGTTTTCCCAAATGTCTGTGGTATGCCATTCACATTGTTTTCCCAAATGTCTGTGGTATGCCATTCACATTGTTTTCCCAAATGTCTGTGGTATGCCATTCACATTGTTTTCCCAAATGTCTGTGGTATGCCATTCACACCCTTTATGGCCACGTTTTCTGAAACTTTTTCAGTAGTTCACTTATAAAATGCTTACTAAAATACTACTGTTTTGTTTTCGAAATCCAAAACCACTGTCGCATTTTTTCACGCCGATTTTATGTTAATTAGGCCCATACTGCATCAAATGCATTTAAGAAATGCCTATGGTATACTGTTAGGTATCACTGTCCTGACTGCTGCTAAGGGATTCATTTAAAAAATAGTTATTGCCATAGACTGTGTACATTTAGTCACTTCAACCCGAAATTTTACTGGGTCGCAAGCAGATTGTATCTCCTGTCCTGATTATACAATGTGTCTGTGGTGGTATCCATTATTAAAATGTTAACCCTTTGGGGACGACTGGGTCCATCTATCGGCCCAACAGCAAAATAGGCAAAAAGACAACTGGGCCCATCTGTCGGCCTGGTAATATGAGCCTTGAGATTGGCTGGCTGGTCTTTATGCCAGCTAATCAGACTGCTTCTTGCATGTTTTTTTTTACACATGTGGGCTGTTCAATGGTGGTTTTCGTGAAAGTTTTTGTGTTCTGTAATTTTACTTGAATCTTTTACTTTGTGTGTGTGTGTGTGGGGGTGGGGGAGACTTCTGTCTGACAATGGTTAAATATAGTAGGAGGCAGGAAAAGGAGTAGAAACATATGTAAAAGATGTCTAGAGGGCCTACATGGGCCTTATCTGCCAAAACACAAGTGTTAGGACTTATTCAGGCTTCATTCATAAGAAAAATTATCCACATTGTTCAGTTTAGTCGCATTTGTCTAAAGTAATACAAAATGCACTCATGCATAAATAAGCAAATTTGATAGCTAATTTGAATAAATGTGAAGATCTCAGTGTGATTGACAAAGACTGTGTTAGTTCATTCAATTCCCTTTACAAATATATATATAGTTTCGTATCTGTTAATTAAACGCTTTATTTTCTCTAATTTGTGTGTGGAAACTAAGAGAATCCCCTCCTGCAGTTAGTAAGGCTTCGTCTTCTCGTAACTCACTAACCCAAACTTCAAAAAGTCTCTGTCTCCAAAGGGTTAATAAGGCTCTCCTCCGAACGGCATCATAATATTATGGCGGCCATAAAATATCCACAAATATCTGAATGGGGCTCAGTTCTATTAAAAATATGCCGGCTCTGTATAAGGAAACAAATGCTCTAACAGGGTCTCAGTGATATGTTACTTGCGGACCTGTTTCTGTGACTGTACCTCACCGTCGACTGTATCATCTGCGCCGCTGTGCGCGGCGTGGATGGGGGCTAAACCTGATGGCTGGGACTCATGAGCAGCAGCTACCACATCTACTGCAAATTCCTCCAACTAATTTGCTTGTGAGTCCTAGGCACTTAGTTTAGCCCCCCATACGCGCCGCGCATAGCGGAGCGGGGGATATGCTCTGTAAGTTTAATCGCGTTTTGCGCATGCCGAAAAGGGTGAGGATACAGGTCGGCAGGTCTGACATCTACCGCTGCTAAATCCTCAATCGGGCGAACAGTATTGCTAATCTGCATCGGAGCGCGTGGTCTACCCGTCATATCGCTTTCATCATCTGTAATGTCTCGAAATAGTCAACGGTCGCTATTATCGTCTGCTACTACCGTGTGCAATGTTGATATTGTCAAGTTACCCTAGTTTTGCCGCCATTTGTTCCTTGGGAGAAAGTCCGTATTTTAGATATGCCTGAGCCCCGTTCGGAAATTTTATGGCCGCCATAATATTATGATTATGATGCCGTTCGGAGGAGAGCCGTTAATAATATTGCCCGCTTGGAATTGAAGGTTTCACTGAAGCATCGTTGGATTTAATATTTTAATCTATAAACAGCTGTGATGGTTTCATAAGTAAAAAGCTAAAATATGATATAATTTAAAAAAAAATTGTCACAAACATCCCTAAGTTAGGTCTAGGAGTGAGTAGGTAGGAGCCAGTCCAGTTTTGTACAGTGACAGCCGACTGTCATTGTTGGTGTCTGCATATTATTAACAGGATCTACAGTGAATACAATTTATTCTGATGTAGTCAGAGAACTCACCAGCCAGACATCTGGAAACACTAAGCAACCGTGTTGGAACAGCGCTGCTAGTGTCATGTCTTGCTAAAAAGACACGGTTCCTAACTTGTTGCAGAACATGTCTCATCACCAAGGGCGCTGCCATCTTTACGACCTCGCTGTACTCTGACCCTAGACCTTTGACCTTATTAGCAGAAAATATTTCCGCATTTGGTTCCCTTCTGTAGATATTTTCTGGTCGCAGAGACGCGGTTTTTAGTAGAAAGATATGTGTGTTCCGGGACCCCACTGAAAATGGAAAGGGGGGGGGGGGGGGGGGGGGTCGAAGCAAGGAAACAACAGCTTTATTTAAATAAGCCAAATCTGTAACATTATATGAAATTAGAGTATAAGTTGTATCATATACAACACTAGTGACCATTTGAGGCTGGGTCGGTCTGGGAGCTAGGGTCATTTATTTAATTATTTATATTTTAAAAATAAGTGTGTGTGTGAATATACAAATACATGCGTGTGGTGTGTGTGTGCAAACACGTATACATGCATTTCCATGGGCGTGCACTCGGAGATGTATGTATACGTGTGTGTAAATGCAAACATGCATACGTGCATTCGCAAGCGGGCCTGCACACATGTAGTTTACGTGTGTGTGCGTATATATATATATATATATATATATATATATATATATATATATATATATATATATAATGTGTGTGTGTGTGTGTGTGTGTGTGTGTGAAAGCATCCCCACGCCAACTGTATTTAATTGTCAGCAACCAAAACTATATCGCTGCGGCAACCTGAGACCAAAACCCCAGACATCATGCAGTGCTCATGCTGCAATAGGGCGTGGCCCTGCCGCAGCAGCCTATCGTGCAGATACTGTTCTGGGTCCCACGATTTCAAAGAGTGCCCGCTAGCCAAAATTGACACTAATTTCAAAAAGCCGAACAGCAACCGCAAGTGCTCCAACTGTTCCGGTGCACACGGCGCGAGATACATGGGCTGCCCATATCTCCAACGTTGCAAGAAGGCACTAACAACAGCCCACGAGAAAGCCAGAAAGAGATACGAGGCACCCAGGTTCCCAATAGCAACAAAGCAGCCAAGAGGGAAGTCAACACAACACACATAGGAGAGACGAGTTGATAAGGCGATCACAGCCACAAAAGACCCTCAAATTTCGCTACAAATTTCTGAAATTTTAGCTGAAATCAGATCTCTCCACAAAGAAAAGGTTGATGCTACCGATGCCAACGCCGATAAAACCCAATTGCTAGATCTGATATCACAGATGCGTGACGAAATCAAAGCATTGAAAGAAAACAGACAAGAACAAATCTCACAGCAAACAAAGTGGCTAGCAGAGGCTGAACAAACGCAGAAAAACCAGCTAGAAATGACTCTGAATCTCCAAGCAGAAAAAGCAGCAGAAGAGACCCACCGACAAGAAGAAAGGGAGGAGAGAAGAAAGGAAACCACAGTACTCAAGGAAGCCCGAGAATGCGCTTGTAAAGAAGTCGCCCTAATGGTTCAAGCAAAAGCAGAAGCCAAAGCTGCAGAGCTAGCGGCCAGAACAAAGCGTGTCCTGCTAGAGGCCTCCAACAAAGCTGTAAAGAAACCAAGTATCAGCAAGTCCGACAAATCTACAAATACAGACAATATAAAGCAGACTGTCGACATTAGCACAACCACCGAAACCGAAATCACAGCCTCTGAAACAGTAACAATAACTGATAGTGAAAGCCTTGAGAGCATGGAGGCCAACTTTAAAGAAATGCTCCGAAGCGCGAACGAAAAGATATTTCCACACAGAATGGAGGCGTCATCACTCACAGTGCACCTTTACAACTACCAGGGCAGGATGAACGAAGAGTTTCGATTGCCAAGAGCTGAACACCTGAAAGTGCGTGTTATTAAACACAGACTAATCGAAAAACTAAAAGAAACCTTAACCATACTAGTAAAAAAGAGAGAAGAGCTTCGGAGACTAGCAACAACAACCGTTGATGAAGCAGAGAAGGAGGAGGAGATTATCACACCACCAAGGCACAAGCAAGACAAGCGAGGCGAACGGTGACGCCCCCAGTACTAGAAACCGCACTGTCTTTCCCCTGGATAGCCAGCACCACCCCACCGGAGCCACACCCACCTGCTCCAGTCCCATTGGCGAATAACTACGTAATTACCATAGAGCTAACCAAAAATCTTAACCTAGTAAATTTATGGAAAGAGAAGACAACGGAAACTACCACAGGCCACCCGACGCCCTGAAGCAGATAGCCGAGGGCATTGCACCTAAGGGGACCAGCACTTGGGAACTCCAGTCTCTCTCATGCCACCCTATCCCACACCTCACATATGTTAACAAATGCCTTTCACTCTCATTTCAGATCAAGGGACCTCAACCCACTAAGAGTGAAACCCATCTCTCTGAAGCTACCTGTCGCTCTCATTCTTCCGACCTAGCTATCACATCCCCTAGCACATTCGAGCAAGTTACCTCTATCATTTGCCGCCTACTTTACCAACAACTACTTCTCCACTCTCCGTGTAAAACGGGCTGATCACAACAACTGATTGTGACGGCCCTGGTTGTCCTGAAAAGGAGCATTGTTTGAGACGTTGTGACCCGGTGTTTGTATGGCTTTTCCCGGCGGCTTTACAGAACGGCAACCAAGCAGCAAAAGGGAACCAGCGCGAGGTAAACCAAGCACCAGCAACAATCAGCTAAAACCAACAGTCATCATCAATAAGAGAACTGGACCACACCAGACCCAAAAACCACAAGCACCACACCGCAGCAAGGAAGCAAAGAACCGGAATATCAGGTGTGACTACACACCACAAATAAAAGAAAATCAAATAAGACAGCCAAGGAACCTTCCTTCATATAGCAGGCCTCCGGGCGGCTGAAAAGGGATCAAATTTGGAATTTTCGTTGGACAACTGGAATTGGAAAGGGAACTATTTCGTCAGCATATCGCCATTTATTCACAATTTTCGCCAATACAATGTTATCAGTGCCAAACGTGGACACTTACATCCTCCAACGAACGCAAAATTGTGACAATAGAGATGAAATGCATTAGAAGAGCTGCAGGAGTTCCAAGGAAGAGACAAAATACGAAATCAGACGAATGCTAGGAATAAAGCCAGTCTTACAAGTCATCAAAGAACAACAAGTGGTTTGGACACCTAACAAGAATGCCCTGGTACTGTCTGCCACAGCCACACTAAAACGTTACAACGGGTATAGAGTGAGTGGAAGACCTCAGAAAATATAGAGTGATGGCATTAAGTACAGCCTTACAGTTATGAACGTCAGTCTTAATAGTGCTCTTGACAGAGCTCATCAACGAATGTTACATTCCCCCCCCCCCCCCCCCCCCCCCCCCCCCGACACTTCGCTGAGGTACAAGGTGGAAGAGAAAAAGAATTCACAATTTTCACAACAACCGATATTCCTGTCATAACATGTGTGGATCTTATTATTATTTCACTGTACAAACTGAACAAATCGGGCGATCGTACATATTCCTGTCTAACGAATTCCAGAGAAATTTGACTAAAAAGCTCAACAAAATGGGAAAGAGGAAAACGTGCACAAAACAACACAACGTAACGTTTCGGCCGGGCAGCCTTTTTCAAACACAAGTGGACTACACAAACGAGGAATGGAGAGTATGTAGATCTCTAAGGGGTGACGTGAGCGACGTTTAAAAAATGTGATGCGGAATAAATGAAATAAAATAAAAAAAAAAAGGATGGCTAAAAAAAAATATAGTCACCAAAAAAAAAAAAAAAAAAAAAAAAAAAACCAGTAGTAATTTTAGTATATAATATAATACTGGGAATAAAAGAAATACAAATTTTAATGATACATAAATGATACTTATTAGAAATAGAACAAAGTAATAATATGAAATAAAATAATTAACATTTAAAATGTGATAAGATTATAACTATTTAGATGAAGGTATGTTGGATATTGATACCACTTGGACTAAGAACGCCAAGGCTGTGGATAAGGCGATTTTCCAAAGCAGGCGGACAGTACGATCGCCAGAGCAAGATTTTAATGCTGTGACAGATATATCATCTTTACCGCTGTGGTCAGGGCTATTAAAAGAGGGATTGGTTTGAGTGTCTTTTTATCAATATCGGAGAGGTGTTCCCGGAAACGATCAGCTAGCTTCCTGCCAGTTTCCCCAATGTATGCCTTGCTGCATCGTTTCCAGATAATTGCATAAATTACGTTGCGGGTTTTGCAAGTAAAAGGTTCCCTAACTTGAAAAGAACCATTAGGGAAACTGACCGAAGAAGTCTGGACAACGAAAGGACATGTTTTGCAAGTGCTGCGTGAGCATTGATTAGTCCCAAAAGGAAGTGCTGTGTGGATCGGCAGGAGTCGGCTTCGGACAAGTATGTCTTTAAGGTTGCGGACTCGTCTGTACACTAATCTAAGTTTCTCACTAAAGATAATCTCGGTGTCCCGATCAGAGCGGAGGATGTCCAAATGACGATAGAATACTTTGGAAGCAACAACATTGTTAGGGTGAAAAGTCCCGTCTAACGCCTTGTTTAACGTTTTGGAAAGTTCCAAGCTGATTGTTGATCCTTGTGGCTGCTTCTTGTGGCCAGAATATGTTATTCACTGTATTTAATTTACATGAAAGTGCACATACGCCAGCAGATGTTCGCGCCCTGCCGGATATATATCAGACACATCCTCTTTTCCATGGTTGCCTTGTAGTGTCGGCTCCAATAACCGCGAAGTAATGACAGGATGTGCGAGCCACCCTTGTGTAGCGGCTAACACCAGCCTGTGGATTCGATGGTCGTAAGTTCAAATTAAGGGGCGGGGGGGGGGAGGGGAGGCATTTTTTTTAGATACCTCGCCTCCCTGGTCGACTCGACTTTAAATTGGTACTAGGTAAAGTTTTGGGAAGAAAAGGCAGCCGTCGTGATGATGACCACATTACCCATCAAGGTCTATAAAAATACGAGTCTAACATTATGTCATACGCGAACTAGGAGGTGTAGTGGAGGGTCTGTCTATGTTTAACAAACGGGAGCAGGTAAATGCGATAGAGCTCTGTATCGCTCTGATGCCATATCGGTCGTGCGACAGACCCAGAA